TTACCAGAGAACAAAGTCACAGGCAATTATGAGAGCAAGTCGAGGCCTAGGGAAGGCGAGGATCAATTCGCGAAAGGAGATAGAGACCATGAAACAAGATGTTGAGAGGATAAAGGTGAAACTCAGTGAATTGCAACTACATAAAATGGAGCTTCAAAGGCAAGTGCGAAGACAATAGTTTGGTTTTGTGAGAAATTTGAAGTATTGTTGAGGCTTTTATTTTGATTTGTCCAACTGTGATTCACATCCTCAAAATGTGAAATCCATTACGTATTCATGCCCCTTTGTTCTTGGTATTTAACAAAATTTTTGGAAGAAAAATCTGTAATAATTCTTAGAAAAAATATATATGTAACTAGTCATATGAAAAATTGGAAATAGCATTTTCTATACTAGTAATGAAAAGAGGGGTTTGGAGCTTTCTTGTGTTTTAGATTTGTAATTAGTATATTTTGAAAATGTGCATCAACCATTGTAATAAAGGAAAGGCTAAAGTTGGTGTTTAACATCTTAATTTTTTAATTTATTCAGTTACACAGGTAGATATATTCAGATTTTTTTTCTTTCTTTCAAATCTATCGACAGTCGGTGTTTTCAGATTCATAAAGGGTCTGTTTGTTTGGATGGACTGGATAAGGGGGATTATAATTCATCGGACTGTTAGTCTCGGGATACATTGTCCTCAGACTATTTGGTTGGATTGGATTTGTATCCTATGTTTATTTAGTCATGGGATTAGAGACTATTTTTAGTAAATTCAATTTTTGGTTAAACAGACTGGATAAGGATAAATGTTCAAACCAGTCAAATTTCTCTGATATATGTTTAGGGACCTTAGACATCAAAAAATAATTTTGTGGATCTCTTCCATTACGAAAAGTGGAAGAGGGACCCTAGACCGATTTTCCCTAGATAGATTAAACAAGATATTTAAAGAATTACATTTTGTATTTTGTGAAGGAAAAGTCACCATCGTCGTCAAAGCTGTTTTTTTATCACAAGTCGTCGACGCTTGTTTCAATTGAGTTTTTGGATTTCTTGAGAAAAGATTACTCTTTTGTTAACAAGGCGTCAACGCTTGTTTCAATTGAGTTTTCGGAGTTCTCGAAAACAGATTATTCTTTTGTTTTTTAGTGTTAATTATCTTGATTGGTTCAAAATACGGTAGAGGTGAGCATAATCCGAATTGAAATAAAATTAAGATCAATTTATTATTTACGGTTTTTGAAAAATTAAAATTAATTTAATCTGTTTAAATCGTGGAATCAATCCATTTAAACACGGATCAGATCGGTTTAGGATCACGGATTCACATAATTAAATAACAAAAAAAAAAAAAATATAGAACATTTTAATTTCATAAAAATATAAACATAGCATCATATTAGTTTCACAATAATAACATGTCTTTCTATAATAGCGACATACTATTCTAAAATTTAAACAATTGTAAAAAAACTGGTTTCACTATAAGTATTTAAACCATTATAAATTAAAACTATAAAGGAACAAACAAAAGTAATAAAAGAAGATACTATGCGGTTTTGGGTTTTATATAGAATAAGAGAAGATACTATATGGGATGATGTATAATATAAATATAGGCTATTTGTATACAGTCCGGATCGGTTCCAATCTAGAACCGTGGAGTTCAATCCGGAACCAATCCGTGGACTACAGATTTTTAATTTTTCAATCCGGAACCGAACCACGAATTTAAAAACCAATCCAAACCTACTGGATTGGAGTGGATTAGATCGGATTAGGGATTTTCACAGATTTCTTACTCAGCCCTATCGATTGAGCCTCACTCAACAATAATTGTCTGACTCTTACAAAATTCTTTCATAAATTAATGAATAAAGATAAGAGGTATTTCAACCCTCTTTTATAATAATTTTCTCACAAAGGGTAGATATGAAAATATAAAAATAAAGACAATATTTAGATCAAAAAGTAAAAGAACAGAATGAAAAATGCAATCACAATTTCAAAACACAAATTTTTTTTCTATTCAAATTCTTAATTTTTCTTCATACAAAACACTTCTATTTATATTAAAAATTCTTTCCGTCGAGGGAGACAGGTGTTTCTCGAGGCGTCGGCTGAATCCACGTGGAAGGAAAATCTACAATCTTGAAAATTTGAGCACTTTTAAGCTTTCTTGATTTAGTCAAATTTGCACTAAAAAAACAAGAAAAAGAAAGCTAATGGAAATGATAGGTCATGTATGCCTTTGCACATGTGAATATGCATACATGTAACATGATATAATTAATATAATGTAAACTTAATCAAAAGTCTAATTATCCACACGGATAGATTTCTATATTCCATTTATATTATATACATTATATATAATATTCTAATCAAATATTCATATATTCATACATATATATACAAGCATGCAGATCATGTTATTTGTTCACATGTCGGAAGAATTTTTCAAACAATAAGGTGTCGTTTGGTAACATTTACGTTTTCAGTTTATATTTACAAAAATTTAAAAAACTCAAAAAAAAACTTGTTTGGTAAATTTTCGATTTATAAATTAGTGGTTTCAGTTTATAAATTTGGCCAAAAAATATAAACTCAAAAAATCTGTTTTCGTTTTGAGTTTTTTCTTTTTTTACCACCCAACACTAGCTGCCATTCGCCACCATTTTCTGCCACCGTCTTCCCCCACCACCACTTACCACCACCCCCACCACCACTTACCACCACCACCCACCTGCCACCACCAGTCACCACCCGCCACCACCAGCCACCCACCAGCCACCTGCCACCCACTCGCTACCACCACCCATCCCTCGCCACCACCACCACTCACCAGCCACCTGCCACCACCCACCAGCCACCCACCAGCCACTCGCCACCACCATCCACCCCTTGCCACCATCACCACCACCACCACCACCCACCACCTTTTTTAAATTTATAATTTGTTATCTCAGGTAAGCAACTCAAGAGGGGAGTGAATTGGGTTATTAAACAATAATTTTACAATATTAAAAATAATAATCGAAATATTTAAATTTTAATAAATAAAAACTAGAGTAATAATTATCAATATAAAAGTAAGAGAGATAAGGAGAGAAAATCAAACATAGGGATTTGTAGTGGTTCAGTACGTCGGACCTACATACACTTCTCAAGAATCTTCCTTGAGAATTTATTCACTATCAAAATGAATCAATATACCACCAAAGTTTCACCAAACTTGGGATTTTACAGATCTTACTCTTATCTATTGATAGGGGTGAGCATGGTCCGGATTGGTTCAGATTAACTAGCACCAATCCGTTATCTACAGTTTCTGAAAAATTGGACCCAATCTAATCCATTTAAATCGTGGAACCCATCCGAACCAATCCATTTAAACACGGATTGAATCGGTTTAGGACTACGGATTCACATAATTAAATAACAAATATATATATATATATATAATATTTTAATTTCATAAAAATATAAACATAGCATCATATTAGTTTCACAATAACAACATGTCTTTCTATAATAGCGACATACTGTTCTAAAATTTAAATAATTGTAAAAAAACTGGTTTCATTATAAGTATTTAAACCATTATAAATTAAAACTATAAAGGAACAAACAAAAGTAATAAAAGAAGATACTATGCGGTTTTGGGTTTTATATAGAATAAGAGAAGATACTATATGGAATGATGTATAATATAAATATAGGCTATTTGTATACAGTCCGGATCGGTTCCAATCCGGAACCGTGGAGTTCAATCCGGAACCAATCCGTGGACTACAGATTTTTAATTTTTCAATCCGGAACCGAACCACGAATTTAAAAACCAATCCAAACCTACTGGATTGGACTGGATTAGATCGGATTAGGGATTTTCACAGATTTCTTACTTAGCCCTATCGATTGAGCCTCACTCAACAATAAATGTCTGACTCTTACAAAATTCTTTCATAAATTAATGAATAAAGATAAGAGGTATTTCAACCCTCTTTTATAATAATTTTCTCACAAAGGGTAGATATGAAAATGTAAAAATAAAGATAATATTTAGATCAAAAAGTAAAAGAGCAGAATGAAAAATGCAATCACAATTTCAAAACACAATTTTTTTTTTCTATTTAAATTCTTAATTTTTCTTCACACAAAACACTTCTATTTATATTAAAAATTCTTTCCGTCGAGAGAGAGGTGTTTCTCGAGGCGTCGGCTGAAACCACGTGGAAGGAAAATCTACAATCTTGAAAATTTGAGCACTTTTAAGCTTTCTTGATTTAGTCAAATTTGCACTAAAAAAACAAGAAAAAGAAAGCTAATGGAAATGATAGGTCATGTATGCCTTTGCACATGTCAATATGCATACATGTAACATGATATAATTAATATAATGTAAACTTAATCAAAAGTCTAATTATCCACACGGATAGGTTTCTATATTCCATTTATATTATATACATTATATATAATATTCTAATCAAATATTCATATATTCATACATATATATACAAGCATGCAGATCATGTTATTTGTTCACATGTCGGAAGAATTTTTCAAACAATAAGGTGTCGTTTGGTAATATTTACGTTTTCAGTTTATATTTACAAAAATTTAAAAAACTCAAAAAAAAACTTGTTTGGTAAATTTTCGATTTATAAATCAGTGGTTTCAGTTTATAAATTTGGCCAAAAAATATAAACTCAAAAAATCTGTTTTCGTTTTGAGTTTTTTCTTTTTTTACCACCCAACACTAGCTGCCATTCGCCACCATTTTCTGCCACCGTCTTCCCCCACCACCACTTACCACCACCCCCACCACCACTTACCACCACCACCCACCTGCCACCACCAGTCACCACCCGCCACCACCAGCCACCCACCAACCACCTGCCACCCACTCGCCACCACCACCCACTCTTCTCCGCCACCACCACCACTACCACTACCACTACCAACCACCACCCACCTGCCATCCACCCGCCACCCGCCATCTGCCACTTGTGCAAGCCTTTATTTTGCGTATGGAGAATTTGTATATCATTGTACAACATTTTGAGGATTTGTGGCCCAAAATTTGGAAAATCATATCTGAATTGCTCGAAGGTTTTCAGTTTATTCAGAATGCTTGAACTATCTGAGATGCATTCTGGTTTTATACTGAAAAGAGGGAAATATTTTGTATAAAACAAATATAAAAATGTTAGCATTAGAGAAATAATACATATAACTGCCATATATATCTTTGTTTGCTTAGATTTGAAGATGGATTTTTACCTTGGAGAAGAATTAACACATAAAAGGTGTCTTCACTATTTCTTTTCCCAAAAAGGAAAATTTTAATTTATTCCTCTTGTGGTTTGGACTATGTGTCCATAACCCCTCTGTCATTAGGAAATAAGTACATAACCCTCATGTGGTTTGTGGACTAAAGTGCCTCGTCAGGCTTGTTAACTACTTAAGCGGAAAGACTAAAATACCCCTATACAAAATCTCATTGTGCAAATCTTTTTTTTTTTTTGGGAGGCAAAATTTACTTTGGCCCCATGTGCTTTACTCTGTGTGGTTTACCGCCTGATATTTGGAAATGAACACATAACTCCCTTGTGTCCTGGCATGTGTTTCACACTTGCAATTAACTTGAACGAAATGCCCGACGGTGCACTTTAATCCACAAGCCATAAGGGGTTATGTGCTTATTTTCAAGTGATATGAGGTAAACCACCGATGGAGTAGACCACAGGGGGTGAAGTGAAGTTTGCCCTTACCAAAAATTATAGTAGCTGATACATGTATGCATTTCCACACTAGTGTATGGATAACTCTAATGGCCATTACATGCTCAAATGTCAGGCACTCTACAGATCGTGAAGTTGCTCTTATGAGTCTCATGGCTTACCTTTCATATGTGATGGCTGAAGTAAGTTTTGCTCATCTTTTTAAGCACATTTATGGCCATTAACATTTACTTTTCATACTATGTTTGGATTGAATTTCAGACATTGCTGTATTTCATGATTATGTTGATTATTTTTATTTATGTAAAAAAAATAATTATGTTGAATATTTTTCTTTTGTTCTAGCTGTTTGACTTGAGTGGGATTCTTACTGTATTCATTTGTGGGATTGTCATGTCACACTACACCTGGCATAATGTGACTGAAAGTTCAAGGGTAACTACCAAGTATGTAAAATTTTCAGGCATATCTTCTCAGAAGTTTGACTTCCATATTTTAAATATGATATTGCATTCCCTCAAAATGGTTAAGCTGACTTATTACATTTATTTTGTGACTCTGTTTATTAATTTCTGCAGGCATGGTTTTGCAACATTGTCATTCATTGCAGAGATTTTCATCTTCGTTTATGTTGGTATGGATGCCCTGGACATTGAGAAATGGAGTTTTGTAAGCAAAAGGTAAGATCTACGAATCCACTAGAGAGTGTTGTTTTGAAATTAATCTTGCACTTCCCCTTCTTTTCCTTCAGCTTGTTTTCTGATTTCTGAAGTGGAAGTCAATTGTTTTTTTCATATATTTTCTTCTTTTTACTTGGGGAAATTTTATATTATAATTTTGCCATTGCAGATTTCATTTATTTGATTTGCGTTTTATTTCAATTTCTTCAGCCCTGGAAAATCAGTTGGGGTCAGTTCAATTCTGCTTGGCCTGGTTTTAGTTGGAAGGGCAGCTTTTGTCTTGCCACTATCCTTCTTAATTAACTTAACCAAGAAGTCTGATAGCGAAAAAATTAGCTTCAAGCAGCAGGTAAGTGATTTGGAATTTTTTTCAAGTTTCTCGGCTTCTTGATCTGCTTTGTGCAATAAAACTGAACTCGTAGATAACTTTACAGATTACAGTTTGGTGGGCTGGTCTAATGCGAGGAGCTGTCTCTATGGCGCTTGCTTATAGTCAGGTAAAAATGTTGAAGAACTGACTATATATTGCTTGTTTATAATTAGGTAAAAATGTGTACGGTCAATGGGCTACGATGCAGGTTTAGATTTAATTTGCCAATAGAAGAAAGTTGTGGATTTCTTCTAGCTGTAATTGTAGCCAGATTGCATATGAACGAATATTTTACTGATGCATTTTGTAACTGCTGATATTGTTGCACAAGTTAATTGCATTGAATACATATCTTCGACGCGGGATTGTTTTTGTTTTTAGAATACATGATAAGTGTTTACCAACCATATGTATTGTTATGGGGGTGATATTTTGCACGTTGAAGCTTGATTTTCTGTGCACATGCAGTTTGTGAAGTCTGGCCATACACAACTGCCAGGAAATGCAATCATGATCACCAGCACCATCACTGTCGTTCTTTTCAGTACACTGGTATGTCCATTGGTTAAAAGGATCTTTTTTTATGAACGGGAAGTCTTCCAATCCAAATATTTTCTGCCTTAACTCAGGTTTTATTTTATATTGTCTTAGTTAACTGATATAACAAACATATGGCATTCTTTGTGAGTAGATTTTTTATTAATTAAAAATCTTGTATATCTAGATAAGTATGTATCTATCCAAAATAGATGCAATAGAATTTTTGTATTCAGCATGAACTACTGGCTCTAAGCCATCTTTGGCGTTAAATCGATTAATCAACAACTCGAAGTGATTGTTTTGCATATTCTTGATAAACCATCCTTTATATATGTAAGAGGATCTATAGCCCAACCCTAGACACTCTAATATCCTTTTCACGCCTGCTCCCATTTCGAGTCGAGAGATGAAATCTATTGTTGCATTTTTATTATTACACCTTCGATATTGATAGTAATATTACCAATCTGCACCTGATTGTTGATTCTTTGTTTCTTTGTTTTTTTTTTTTTTTTTTTTTGTTGTTGTTGTTAATAGGTGTTTGGAACGTTGACCAAACCTCTTGTAAGGTTCTTGCTGCCTCCATTAAAACACTCGAGCAGCATGACCTCCTCTGAACCATCTAGTCCAAAATCCTTCACATTGCCACTTCTCGGCAATGGGCAAGAAGATTCAGAGGCTGACACGGGTATCCATAGTATACCTCGTCCAACCAGTGTACGCATGCTCTTAAGCACCCCAACTCATACTGTCCATCATTACTGGAGAAAGTTTGATGATGCTTTCATGCACCCTGTGTTTGGTGGGAGGGGATTCGTGCCGTATGTTCCTGGCTCACCGATAGAAAGCAGTCTCCATTAAAACCTGTGCAAGTTTTGTTGCCACTGACCTTCATATGTTCCTGGTTTCGCAGCAGTCTTCATATGGTTATTTCGCAGCAGTCTGCACTCCGGGCTGTCAGCAAGTTTTGTTGCCACTGACCCTCCTCTTGCTGGGTCTTATCAAGTAGCTCCAGTGAACTACTCTCCTTATGGAGGCTATGGAAACGTTGCACCAACTTATCAGCAAGCCTACTACCGATAGACTTGACTCTGGAGATGGTGAAACACTGATATGATGACCCTGATCTCGAATGTTCTCTAAATGGTTTGTAATCACTAACCTTTTAATGGTAGCAATATCTGTGTGTGTTAATCCTTAATACTGATCTTTAATCTGCATCTTGACTCTTGACTTGACTTGACTTTGTCAAGGACAGGTTCTCTTTCTAATGTTGATTAAACTTGTAGTACTAGGTGAATGTGGAAAAGTAATTAAGAAAAAAGCTTCTTAACAAAAGACATGGGGTACTAGTACTACCACTGATGTCATGTCATCACATGAGAGATGCTTAATATTTATTCATTTTTGTATGGCAGATAAGTTTGGGTTTTCTCCTTATTCAAAGTTTATTGTTATTTAGGTTGTATTTGGTGGATGGAGTTGGATAGGCATTTGGAAAGGAGAAGGGAAATGGTGTGAAATGTAGTAATATTTCACTTACTTTTTTTCTGTCTCTTTTTAAATTTCTACCTAAATCTATGAACAAAACACAAAGAACATGTTTCCTAATAACAATGTCACAAAAGTTGGATAGGCATATAGCTGCTGCTATTACTAAGCATTTGGGCATATGGACTTGATTTCTTTTGAATATATTTTTACACTTCATGCAGGAGAAATGTCAAAAAAACAAGGAAAATCGGTTTGAGCTTAAAGTCCTCCATACAGCTGGCTCAAAGGCATTTAGAAAGGTGCAATACGATGAGGTAAATAACTGACCTTTAAATCATAGGGTCTACATGGTACTTTTTTTATTTCTTTATTTGGTGATGTATGTACTCCATAGGATACTAACTACAAAGGTTTTGACAGCGAGACAAGGATGGAAAGGAGCTTGGACTTGTTGATTCTTATTATTTGATTTTTCTTTTTGAATTTTGGATTGCAGGGATGTCCAAAGGGTGTCACACCTAAGTACAGCTTGAAGCCTCTTGTGCCAAGGCTGTCTGATATAAAGCCTGATATTGATGTTGAGAAAATGTTTTTTTAGAGATTCTCTTTGAAGAAACTATTGCTATTCTTCATTTAAACTGTTACTACTTTGATTTGAATTTGGAAACTTTCAGTTTTAATTTTTGTAAAATTTTACTTTCTATATACTCATTATGGTTTGGGAATAGAGTGCGTTTGATATGTGAATGTCAATTTTTTTTTAATATGATTTGATGACATTTAATTTTGTGCATTTTAAGCTATGAGATTAAATGATTACAAAATTTTAATTTTGATTTTTAGCGACGAAAATATGTTGTAGAGAAAGTTATGTCTTTTAGCGACCAAATATCATTGTCGTTAAAAATGTCATTATTTTGTTTTTTGCGACCAAATTGGGACATTTTCTGATGAAGTATTAGCGACTAAATGTTTAGTCTTGTAAAATTAAACATTTTGTGACAATATAAAATTGGTCGCTAATTGTCATTTTTAGTGACATTTTCAAAAATTTGTCGCTAAAGACTTTCCTAGACGCACTTTTAGTGACTGTTTTAGTGACGGAATTAATTTTGTCACAAAAACTATTTAGAGACCAAAATAATAGTTTTAGGGACCAAAATAATTGGTCGCCAAAAGTCTTATATGTTGTAGTGCTAAGTGGTTGCTCAAGCCACCTGAATTACATGGCTTGCACTGAATCTTCAAGGGCTAAGGTGAGGTCCCTCAGTACTCCAAAACAAAGGCCCCAATTTGAGAGCTCAGTTTCATCCAAAAGGTACTTGGTTCATGGGTATGGTGAGTCTAGATCAAGCACCCTAAGGGTTTCTGCCAACTTTGCGAACAAAGCTTATCTGGGGTCTGGTCGTTTGGAGAGGCTTGGAAGGCTTGTGAGAGGCGATGCAACCTGGCTCAATGCTGGCCACTGGAACAGATACTAGAACGTCTTTTTTTTTCTTTTCTTTTCTTTTCTTTTTTTTTCTTTCTATTTTTATAATCAGTGTCTGGCCTAGTTTACACGCACCTCGACAAGAATGTCTTTTGAGGGATTTCCACCCACCATCCGCCACCCATCTGCCACCACCACCCACCACCCGCCACCACCACCCCACTCGCTACCACCCGCCACTGTCACCCACCCACCCACTACCACTACCACTACCACTACCACCCACTCGCCACCACCCACCACCACCCGCTACCCACCACCCACCGTCACCACTTTTCACCACCGTCTTCCTCTGCCACTTGCCACCACTTGTCATTTCTCACTCTTTTTTATATTTTTAAATTTTTTTAAACATTTTGTCAATTACCAAATGCGTTTGTAGTTTATGTTTTTCTAAAAATAAACAAAAATCAGTTTCTAAAATTTTGTAAATATAAACTGAAAACGTAAACGTTTCCAAAGAGACCCTAAATAATTTATTATTTGTTATACATTAAAATTCAACGCTCTATTTATCAAGAAATCTGCATAAATCCAAAAGTAAAAGATAAAAATGACAAAGTGGATTCAAATGATGTAAGATCATGGCACATGACACATATAATTAAACTATTAAAATATACATACTAAATTTATTTAGTTTAAATTCGGTACAACATATAAAAGAAAGATAGAATATATTTTTATATTTGTGGGAGCCAGAAAAAATATAGATTAGCTTATTGGGGTTAACTTAAAGAAGGCCTACAATGGGTCTAACCCAAATAAATATCCCCCCATCTATATATAGGGGGCATCCCAGAAGATGGGGTATGCTTTATCTCTCTCTGCCATATATCACACAAACACTTCTTTCTCTAGAGATGTCTTCTCAGATTTCAGTGACTAATTTCATCATTAGAGTGTCTCCGGCCGGTAACCCCGGTTGGGTGGCGCCGAATACGTTCATCTTTGCAGATATACAGGGGCAAAGCTCATCTCTTCGTTGGATCTCTACAATCCATGTGAGAGGATTTTTCTGGCCTCACAATTGGCGTCGTCTGTGGGAAATGTCTGCAAGAGTTCAACGAAGAGATGAGCAAACATGTTCTTGTAAGTAAAAATTTGATCTTACTCTCTGCAAATTGGTTCTTGGATTAGATATACATATGTTTGTGCTTACAAAATAGAACTTTTTGTTCACCGTGCATCTCATCAAAAAGTTTTAAAACAACATGGAATTTATGGTCTACTTTTGCATCTCCATTTTCTCTCTCTACCAATGGGTTTCACTTTTCTTAAAAGAGAGCATCTTTTCGGCAATTCAACAAGGTTGTTCGGCCATATTCAATTTATTTCTTCTATCTATGTATACTTAGACTCACAGGTGTCCAACCTTTATTGAATGACTTGACCAAGTTTATAGATATATATGTAGATATTTGTTGCTTACATTTATTAAAAAAAATAAAAAATAAAAATAAATAAATAAATAAAAGATAAATTAATTAATGAATATAAATCAACATAAAAATAAATAAATAAAATCCAATACAACAGCCGTGAGGACACCAAATTGTTCGGCACACTCAAGGATGGATGCATCAAATTTGCCTCTGCTATACCATCAAACTTCTCTATTACCTACATTGAATCGGCTCGGTATCATTATTCGGCCAACATTGCTTACCTGGCAAGACTTCTCGGTGCCTAATTATCTTCATATTTGGGCTTGCTTTTGAAGAAATATTGCTCCATAATTGATTATTTTCTCCCAAAAAAATTGAGATTCAACGGGTTGCAGTAAAACTCGAAAATTAACATTTTTTGGAGTTTGTTTATATATTATACATTGCATGTATTAGTGCGTATGCATCTCGGCAGCACATTGGTTATTACAGACTTGCTGATCATAAGTTTACGAACAATGGAGTTGTTCGACAATTCAACGAGGCTGGTTGGCAGCGTTACAACGTTCGAGACCATGCGTATGCATCTCGGCACTGCCGCAACTCAGCACATTGCTCGACAAAGCTACGAACCTACTCGGTAGCTCTCTAACCACCGTGGCCACGAGAACGGCTTCAATTTCTGGCTGCCAAATGCATAGCCAACAATGTGCACCAAGCTCTTTTGCTAAATACATTCCCCTATCCATCCAACACATTCATTATTCATCAACATTATTCGGCTTCGGAAATTTATTTGGGAACACATACCGTAATATTGCTGAACTTTGCAATTCGGCTTTTCATTTGGTATATTATCAATTGATTAAAAATTATCAACTTTGCATATTATCTATTTATCAACGCCACATATTATCAACTCGACTTTAGCAATATTATTCGGCTTTGGTAAACTTTATTCGGTACACGTACATTAACTGTAAACCACAATCTTGCTTGGCACTACTATCTCGGTGTAAAACTAGCATCTCAGCTTACCAAAATCCATATCTGAACCTACCACAGGTTTCGTATCAGCTCAAAAAGTCCAAAATCACTGACTAGAAGATACACGAACGAAACACAGGCCGCCGACAATTCCAAAATAGACTAAATTTTCAGCAATTGACATTTTTCAGAATTGTCAAACTCAAGCTTTGACTATACCAATGTGAAGTCCTCGTCGAGACGAGTCCAACGTCACAAACCGCGTCAAAATCGGAGCTCAAACGAAGCCATACGAACCTATCAAAGTTTGCCTAGAAAATAAGTTACTTCGCTGGAGAAGACAACCCAGCCAGCCCATGCAAAAATTATCCTGTACTTCACGGCTGAATTACACCCTGTTGATCTGAGCTCTCAGTTTGATCTGAGCTCTCAGTTTTATTTTGGCTATAACTATGCCATCAAGAGTTCGATTGTAGCGATCCCATAGTCATTTCTAACTAGTTGGACCCTTCTGAACACATCCGTACGGTCTAATTCTGTAAATTTTGAGTCGCATATTGAGCTCAATACATCGGCCAATCGGGAATATTAAATGCAAAATCAACAGTCACATCACACCCGATCGGTATGCACTTTCAGTAGCAGGATCTTGGAGCTAGGAAATAATCCTCTGTCTTCCCCGATCACTTATTTCGTTACCTTGGCCATTTATTGCCCCACTGGGACATTTTAGTCAATTTTCCGCTCTCTAATTGGGGCACATCAATCGATCATCATCTCGGCACCTTTGATATGCATGCATACTCGGCCAACTTGGTATAAACATTATAAGGAAATTTACTTGAGTTACAAACTCCCGCTCCTTTTCACACTGCTCCAAGCAAACGCCAGTTTTGGGGCAATACATTACACGCTTGGCAGTCGACCGTTTGCATTTGGCAATCGGCAATCCACATATTTCTGCGCGCCATCATTTTCCCAAAGCTGAATCTTCCCCGCAACATCAGGCAATGGGCCAAGTCCAATATGCATTTCTTTCAACTAACATTTGTCATTCAAAAGCAATAGGGCTAGTGTACATTGGACTAAACACAAACCGAGCAATGCTAATTGACCCAAATTTTACTCGGCAATTAAATAGTTGGCCCAATATCTAAAAAAATCCTTGCAATATTGGCACCTGATTGCCACTTAAAATCAACAAAAGCCTCCGAGTATAGCATAATCTTCGCACTCGGCACAGAGCGCCATCAACAGAGACCTTCACCCTCACCTGGGGGTTAGAATACCGCGGCCTACACCTACGCCCAAAGGTTAGAATACTACGGTCTGCACCTACGCCCGGAGGTTAGAATACCGAGGCCTACACCCTCACCCGGGGGTTATAATACTGCAGGTCTACACCTTCGCCCGGGGGTAATAATACCGTGGTCCATTTTTTGGCTAATATATCTCCCTTATTTAATCTACATTATTTGGTTCAGGCAATCATTTTCGTGCTCGACACATAGAAATATCTTTAGCTCGGCACGAAAGTCCATATTTTGAAGCGCTCTTCGCGATTGGCAATATACTATACCCTCGCCCGGGGGTTATAATACCGCGGCCCACACCTTTTCCCGGGGTTCATAATACCGCGGCTTACGACTTTTGCCTGGGGGTAACAATACCGTGGCCTATCGTTATGATTTGTTTGGAATTCATGTGATATAATTTCATACTATGATTGCCAACATTTATTTAATCTCTCTTCCTTATATACAAATAGTTATATATATATTCGTACATTCATCCATACATACATTCCTATTTACATGCATTCATCCAGTCATTCATTCATGTTACTCATTTTCAAATGTATTATTTGTCATGAGATCTAACATCTATTTGAACAGCATAACTCGGCAGTAAAAACTCTCATTCCTTC